GTCAGAGCAGCTCTCCTGGGAACGTGCAGAGAAAGCAAAGCCCCAAAACACTTCCCCCAGCTGCTGGCTGGGTGGGGAACAGGTGCCAGCCCAAATGGGGAGTTCAAAAATAGGCTAGAGTAAAATTCTTCCCCCTCAGCCAATTTGGCTCTCATTCCTTCGCTACTTGAGATGATGTTATCTCATGCTATTTCTCCAGCTGTCCAGCAAGTCCACCAGGAAAATCAGGTCAGACAAGATAAGGATTTCCAGGGAAAAAAAGTCTTTTAAAGCAAAAGGTCACAGGCCCTCCTTCTTCAGTGCCAATGAATGGAAGAGTTGCCCTCTCCTCTGCACTCTTGCTTATACTGCCTCGCTAGAAAAAGCTCTACAGACATCTGCTGGAAAACTGCAGCAAGGTTTTTTTTAGAGGAGCACATCTTAAGTCTAGGACATGTGGCAGACACTGTTAGTAACTGGAGGTCTGAAATTAGTTCTCTCTAGGAGGCTCAAGCTGTAACTGCAAACAAATGCGTGACTAACCAGAAAATGCAAGCAGGGAATTGAAAATTACATATGTTGAGAGTATCCAGGTCTGCTAATGTGCTTTCTGAACTGCAGCCAATTACTAAGAAATTGATAAAGGATTGCAAAATACAAACAAAGTTAGCTCCCATTCACACAGCTCACTGCTGAGCATGTTCTGCGGTTATTATTTATCTTGTAGCAAACTTGGCAAACACACCTCAAGTTTCAGTCTCTAGTAAATTTATGAATGAATGAAGTCCCAGAGTAGCTTCTGGATGATGACACCAGCAAGGTGTCATCCTGCTAGGGCAGAACTGCAAGTGGGAGGTTGGGGAAGGTGCTAGAGTAACTGCTCCAAGGCTAGCATTTCCTGTCCCGTGCTGGGCTCAGTCATTTCCACTCAAAGGCATGGAGAAGAGGCTCCGATCACTTCGCTTGGTCCTAACACCACGTTACCTGGCAAAAACAGTCACCCCAAATGCTGCTTCCCTAGGTGCCGAGCTGCCGGAGGCAGATCACGCCCCTTCCAAGAAGCTGACTCTGCTGGTTTTCTCTGACACTCCATGTCCCTTTCCCTGAAGGATCCCCAAGCTCTACAAACTACCTGGCTGTCAGAAAAGCCCATGCCAGCTCGAGCAGTGTCCAAGGCCAGGGATCAAGTACAAGGCTTCTCACACATCTGGGGAAACTCCCTCACCAGCTTGTGCCTCTCTGTTCCCATACGCCAGGTCGGTTGGAGAGCCAGCCTGCGGTTGCCTTTGCCTCTCAAAAGGCTGAGCTACACAGCTGGCACCCCTATGGCACTAGCCAATTGAGCCGTCTCCAACTAGAGCAGCAAGGGCTTCCCTGCCCAAATTCAAAGCCAAGAGGGTGAAAAACACTAGTGAGGGAAAGCCCACAGTGGGACTGTTTCCCACCCAAGGCTGGGGGAATATGTGGAAGGACACATCAGGAAGTGACGTGCTAGAGCACAGCCCCGTCAGGTGAGGTCTGTGAGAGGTATCTTGAGCCATATCAGCTCTAGAGAACCAACCCCCCCCTCCTCTGCCCCAGCATCCTACCTTCGGGGCTCCCACTGCCTGTGAGTGGGCGTCATGCAGCTGGTCCAGCGCAACACTAAAATCCTCCTCAAGCACTGGGAACCCAGCAGTGCAAAAATCTCTCTCCACTTCCTCACTCAGTCCACCTGGAAAACTGGCGAGGAAAGAGAAAGGAAGGACTCAGGCTCTGCCCCACTCCTGGCATTATCAGGCTGGCTGCAGCCCCTACCCTCCCGCTCCTCCTGCCCTGTTGCCTGTGCTACCTCAAGGCCTGGATGCGGGTACAAGCAGCCCGGCTGCTGTGGGACAACAAGGCACAGAAATCTCCCAGCACAAAACCCTGTGAATGCAGAAACAAAAAGCATCAGTTCAGTCCCTGACCACAGCTCCAGCTAGGCCATAAAAGGTGTATGGGGAAAAATTCCTCACAGAGCTGTTGTTTGAGCTTCTGTGCCCTGGTTAAAGGCTCTAGCCTTTTCTTCTATTGGCTCTGTCTTCTAGCAGAGCTGAGCATCAGCCAACACCTCTGCGAAAGGTGTGCAGTCCTTAGGCACTAGAAATCTGCCATTAAAGCTGATACCTGAGGACCAGGGTTAGCCACTGAAGAAGCTGACTGGGCTGTGGGAATTGCCCCCTTCCTACCATGGCTAGGTAGGGGAGGTTGGCCCAGTACTCCCGGCCTGCCCATCTCCAAATGCTGCTGTGGTTTCACTCACTGCAGTCCTGCAGGCCAGCTTGGATAGGCTCACTTCTTTGCCCAGAGGCAGACTGGCAGTCAGCATGCTCAGCATCGACCTCCTCTGCTCTTCTGAAGGGACTTCAATTTTCACCTCGTGAAGGAAAGCAGTCCGCACGTCTATAGGAACATCCTGGGGCTTGCAGGTTGTGCCAATCACCAGGACAGGGTGGCTACAGAGAAAAGAGCGACAGTGCATGGTCTCAGCTCTACAGAAGCTTCCATCTTACGTTGCCAGCACCCACACCAAGTCATAGAATCATAGAATCATAGCATCATTTAGGTTGGAAAAGACCTTTAAGATCAGCCAGTCCAACCATTAACCTAACACTACCAAGTCCACCACTAAACCAATTAAGGGTAGAGTAGTAATTTCATGTTTCCTGGCTTGGTGGCTGAATTATTTTTTAATGAAAGTAAAAACTAGGAATCATTAAGGTTGGGAAGGATCTCTCAGATCATCAGTCCAACCATCAACCCAACACCACCAAGCCCACTAAACCATGTCCCCAAGTGCCACGTCTAGCCGTTTTTTGAACACTTCCAGGGATGGTGACTCCACCACTTCTCTGGGCAGCCTGTTCCAGTGCTTGACTACTCCTTCCTTGAAGAAATTTTTCCTAATATCCAATCTAAACCTCCCCTGGCGCAGCTTGAGCCCATTTCCTCTCGTCCTATCACTTGTTACGTGGGACAAGAGCCCAACACCCACCTCACTACAACCTCCTTTCAGGTAGTTGTAGAGAGTGATAAGATCTCCCCTCAGCCTCCTCTTCTCCAGGCTAAACAACCCCAGTTCCCTCAGCCACTCCTCCTAAGACCTGTGCTCCAGACCCTTCACCAGCAAGTCACTCTCCAATGGTTAGCCTTTCCCCTGAGAAATGCGCACATACTGGCCAAGGTGTCTTGCAGCCACTCTCCTCCAGCTTTCCCTTGAACTGCTTTGTGAGCTGTCTCCAAGTCAAGGCCCTTCAAGTGACATCTTATTTCTTCACCTGATGTCTCCTTCCCTGCACCCTGGTACTTGTCATCAGCCTCAAGATTCTCCTGGGATCCAGCTGCTTTCCCGGGGTCCCTGTGACCCCCTTGGCATGCCTCACAGCAAACACACCGGGTTTGCTCCTCTGAACAACTCAGAAACCAGCTTCAGACAACAAAGCTTCTCGATTCCCTCTGCCACTAAGCTGGAAGAACAAGGGCCCTCTGAAATAAACAAAGCAAGTCTTGGAGAGACTCCACCAGATTAAAAAGTAAAACAGGGCATGTTAGTAACCAGTCACCTTGATGTAACGGTGACTGCTGCCCTAGGAATGGCAGAAGCAAACAATCACCTCAGATACCCACAGCAAACGTGCGGGGTCCGTACCTCAGTGCTGGGTCTCTGTCCAGGAGCAGCTGTCTCAAAGTAGCGATGACCCTGGCGTCCTCTCCTAGCCTGTCCCGGTCTCTGCCAAGCACCTCTATGTCTTTCAGCAGAAGCACACATGGATGATACTGCTGGGCCTGGGCGAAGGCCATCTGTACTTTCTCCTCTGTGGCTCCACTGGTGTCACTGCACAAACTAACGCAATCAACCTGTGAGACAGACCACACAACACACAGTCTGCAGCGGTTGCAACACGGACAGCTGGGGGACCCAGGACAACGTTCACTTCCACAAAGCTTTCCATGGGCAATCCACAGCTGAAAGGAGATCTAAGTGGATGTTTCCCAGAGACATAAAATAGACACATTCAGAACATACTCAAAATAGACACATTGAGGACTCTCTGGCATGGAAAAATGGCTGTTTCTTGCTTCTCTGCAGGAGGTGAGGGGGGCAGGAGGATCTTGTCTGAAAGAGGTGAGGCCAAGGGTCTGGAGAAGTCAATACAGTGGACATCATGGCTCAGCAACCTAAGCTGGAAGGGATGGGAAAGCTGTGGAAGAGGCCAAGACAGGGAGAACAAGGTGCCTCAGAGGAACAGTGCAAAGAGTGGAAAGGGAGGCTCAGAAACTATTCAACCCAGTGCCACAAAAGCTCAAAGTGCAAGAGAAAGGTAGAAGGTAAGGGGTGGGGGGTGGGGGCGGGGCGGCACGGGAAAAAGTTAGAGGTGGCTAGAGACCCAGACACTGTTTACAAAGCAAACACTTGATGAAGTCATCCAAAAGGTAGAGGTGACTGGTGAGCTTCAAACAGCAGCTTGAATGCTGCTGTAAACAGGCAATGCTGCCTCCTGGTGCTGCATGGTTACTCAGGGACCAAATCAGCTCTGGGATTCCCTAGGCCTCATCCTCAGAAAGGGTAGCTTGGAGCAGGAAGAATGCCACAGCCTCAAGAGCCGACATAAAGGGTAAGGACGGGGACGCAGAGCAGAGGAACTCCTGTGCTCCGTGTACTATAGAAAAAAAAAAGAACAGGAGTTAGGGTTGTGGCAGGGGCAGCCAAATGTCAGCAGTATCTGTATGCAAGTACAGAAGGGCAGAGAGAAAGGACAAAAAACTGCTGATCATCAAGTGGTGGAGATTACAGTGTGGAAGAATTACTGTATCCTGGTAGGAGAGCAGGCAGAACAGTCAGAGGAAGGGAAGAGAAGGTGGAATGGCAATGTAAGCATTGCAGTAAGCGAGAAAAGGAGGGGAGAGTGTAAAGGCTGGGACAGGAGAATAAGATGGACAGGAAATACCTCTGGTTTTAATAGTAAGAGCATTAGTCTTGAAAAGCAGCAGACAAGGCCAAAACCAGAGCTATAGCCTTGCACGTCACACTAGAACCTGAGGCCACCTGCCAGGACATGGCAGTGCCACAGTGCTCCCAAACACATCCTACACATGGATCTGAAGGTACTGTGAAGTCTCTGCAATCTTGTACTGGATCCCAAGATCTATGGCACATCTGCAAAAGAGTAAGAGCTCAACACCACTAAGGATCATGTCCAGAAGATGAGCTGCACAGCAGGTGGCCAAGGCTGTATCCGCCTCCCACACTGACCCACTGTTACGGCTTTACTTGGATCGAGAAGAACAACTAAAGGGAGCAATGTCAACTTAACAGGACCGAACTTCTAAATAGAAGAAAACCCAAATATTGAAACCACTTAGCTTGTTTTCTATGAGTTTGCTTTAAAAATACCCACAAAAAAGGAGCAAGCCTATGTTTTCCTTCCACAAAAAGGAACCTTCCAGCTCTCTTCTTTCCATCTTTCTTCTTCTTCCAAGTCCTTTCAGAGTTTCAGAAACTCTCCTAGAAAAGTCACCATGTGACTTCCAATCCCCTCACTTTTGCAAACCTAACTCTACAGATTCAAGGAGATTAAAGCATTTGCAGGGTGCACCCAGACTGTCAGAGTGAACAAAAGAGGTGTGCAGAAGGAAAATAGTGTTTTTATCAAGTCAGTGAAGGCTGCATTGGTGCCCAGAATGTCCAGTGCTGGACAGAGAAAAGGGCTAGACCTCATTTTGGCCATGAAGCTTACCCAGTACAGCCACAGCTGTAAGAACATATGAATGGCTGTGCTGGTTCAGACCAAGAGTCCATATAGCCCGCTATTTTGTTTCCAAGCATGACCACAAGTGGCTGCTTAAGGAAGGGTAAGCACATATAACCCTCTCCCCTCAGTACTCTCCAGGAACCTACCATTCCCACCGAAAGGGATTTTCCCAGTCAGATGTGGTTTCATAATGGTAGATTTCTCCTCCAAATACTCTTACCTACACAAAGAACCACCTCCTTTAGCTTGCCTGTTCCCACTAGCTTCACCTGACTGCCCCAGGCCTCATGCTGGCACAGAGAAAAGTAAACACTTTCCACTCTCTGCTGACCACTCAAGGTCTTGTAAACCTCTATCAAACTCTCCTCAAGTTCTCTATTTTTCAAGCTGAAGAGCCTGTTCAGCTGTTCACCATACTGAAACTGGTCTAGACCCCCAATCTTCTCCAGTGTCCTCCTCCTCTGAATTTTTCCAGTTCAGCTTTATGCTTTTGCGGTGGGGAGACCAGAACTGTGCACAATATCCAAGCTGTGGCAAGACACGGATCTGCACAACAGCAGCACCTACTCTTGAGTTTGTTTCCAAAAATGTGATCTGACTTTTGACATATATGGAGAACAGAACCCAAGTTTTCATGGAGTCATTGACATAAAACCAAATTCTTGATACTGACTGGTGACAGTTAGCTTGAAATCTATCGTTTTCCATGTAAAACTAACTACAGTGAATTCTACCTGCCATTTTACTGCTCAGTCACTTGGTCTCATTAAAGCTCTCCTCTAGTCCACAGACTAGAGGGTCTGTCTCCCTTTTCTCTTACCTTTAATAACTTATCAACAAACCATCACATCACAGTTCACCCCCCTTCCCAGATCATTTCTTGAGCTCGCAGTGCAGATGCCTGCAGAGCTCCACTGCTGATTGTGAAGACCCACCAACCACTCCCATGCCATTCCCAACATTTAACCAGCACTTTATCCGTGACAGGACCTTCGCTCACATCCCACCACCTCTCAGTTTCCCAAAGAGCCTTTTCAAAACACAAGCAGACTGTGTTGGTCAAGTTACCTTCACCACATGCTTGGTAACACCTTCAAGTAACTTTCTGAAGGTTTACAGAACAGGACTTCCTTGCAAAAACTACATGGATTCTTCACCAGTAGTGAAGTCATCCCAGAGTGTGCTAACTCTATCCTTCACTCTAACCTGGTACAGGTTTGTGCCCTTTGAAGGATGCCTTTTGTTTCCAGCAACTGCCCTTTCCCTGCTGTACATCTGTTTTGTTTTCCGTTTACTTTTCTCAAGCCCATCCCAATACGATCTATATGCAGTGGCCTCATGCTGTGGCATGGTGTCACGGATTCACCTCCACAGCAGACGTAACACTTCCTTATCTTGGCCAACACTTTCTTTCTAAAGAAACTTCATTTTGATGTTGTTCCCCTTTCAGAAGCCAAGCGCTGCTTACAGATTTTGGGGCTTTTTTGCTCTTGGGTGGGGAGAGGGATGGTGAATGTGAACACAGTTACAGGGCAGCTCTTCTACAGGCTGTGAGGTTTTGAACCAGATCTAACATATGTGCTGTTATCAAACCAAGGGCTGCATTTCTTTTCTAGGCTTCTCACCCAGCTAGAGAAGATCTCAGCATCATCTCTGCCTCACTTTCCAACATGCCTTTTGTACAACCTGTGCAGGGACAATTGAAAACACCCAGTGCCACTGCAATTCCTGCTCTCATCACCTCTCCAATTTCTCTCAGTATATTTTAGTTACAGCCACCCTCTGGGGTGTAGTATCAACTCAATGCCCTATCAAATGACAGGAAGTCAGTCTGCTGAAATACAACTGTGTGTCGCGGTATCTGTAAAGTACATCAGACTGACAGCAATAATAACAAGAGTCAGTAAAGAAAAGTAAAAAACGCACCCCCTGGGCCAAGAGAACTCTAAATTACTGATTCCAGAGCACTGGAGGGTACATGCCAGAGGAAACATCTCTTCATGCTTATGGTCTCTTCCTGAGCTTCTGTTACTGGCCTGTCTCAGACATGGGCCAGGGGGCTAGACAGACCTTTAGGCTGATCCAAACGGTTGCTCTGATGTTCTTCCCACCAGCAGTCATAATCCATGCCAGAGCGAGCTGCTAAGCTCAGCATACTCAGACTCCTTTCGTCTGCATGCGTGCATGGGAGCAGCTTCTGGGTAGGCTCATGTCACAGTTGCAGCAGGGGTGTTGGTATGGCTAACTTAAAGAATGTTTCCATAATTCTTTGTGTGTTGTAAATCCACCAATCAGCTGACTGCAAGAGGAATTACCTTGAAGAAGTGGAGGTTGAGGCAGCTACACACAGCTCTGACAGCCATCAGTTTCCCACTGCCACTTGGCCCTGAGAGAAGAACACTGCCAGCCACGCTCAGTGCGCTTGCCCTGTAACACAGAGGCAGTTCTCCCAGTGACCGGGGAGCAGGGTCCCAGCTCTCCTGGGGCTTGCAAGAAGCAATTCTAACTCACTGACTGTTCAGGTGAGGCCGAAGAGCATCACAGAGCTGCTTCACGACATCAGAAAGTCCAGCAGGAGACAAACTGCTCCAGAACTCGTGGCTGTTATAGGCTGGGGCAGATGGGACAGCGCTGTTTGTTGAACCCACCTGTGAGGGAGGGAAAATAGCACTCTGTGGAACACCACCTGAGAAAAGACAGGTACCAAGTGACAAAGTCTTTCCTGAAATGCCATTTTTCAATGGCAGGAGACACAAGACTCCACAGGCACCTCCGTCATCGATAGTGCAATTTCAGCCTCAGATCTCCTGTAGACCCTCCCTGCTCTCCACTGACATCTTACCAGATAGAGAGAGGTGTTCTGGGTGTCCACCAGGTAACCCTCAGACTGCTCGCCTTCCACCATGCCTAAAATCTTCCTCACTTTGAAGTAAAGCTCTGGCCACCTAAGGGAAAAAACAAGCAGTCTAAATTGTTGAGTCGAGATCTTGAAGGCAGGAACAAAACTGTTGTCAACAAGAAGACAGCTGAAAGGCACAGCTAAGCAGAGATACTCTTGCCCTTTCCCAGGACCCACATGGATCCTTTATGGACCCCGCTGTACTGTCTGGCCAGACAGACCAACAGGACTGTCAACAGTTACAGCTTCCACTGGTGGCTTCAGTCGACAAGTACAGCTGTCCTAACCTTATTTCATCTATGTAAAAGCTCAAGACATTCCCTCTTCTGCCATCGCTTCCTTCACTACAACTCCGCAGAGATTCACCTGCAGCGTATAAAACCTTATGGCACAGAGTCCTCTAGGCTGCAGACTAGGACTCGCCCAAATACCATGAGAGCCTTACAAGCATCCTGCCCTGGACACCTCGCAGGAAAAACACTTCTTCCTACATTGATATCCCACTGGGCCGATTAAGGGATCTGCAGAGGTTTCCTCCGGGATTTTCTCCACCTTCTGAATAATTGTACCACTTGCACACCACCACAGTTTCAAGCTCTTTAGGTCCTGTGAACTCTGCTGTCTTCCCCGGTTTGCCACAGGGCTAATATATAAGTCCACAAATGGAAGACTTGTGCTGCCTCCCTCTGAGAAACAGCTAGAAAATACTCATCATAGTGGTGCTATAAAACTATTACATTTTAAAATACATAGTGGAGCTGAGCAGTGTTACAACATGTCACTGGTATATCCTGCATGAACGATTTGAGGCAATTCTTCGCATCGCATGCCTCCGTTACCTGTGGCAGTTCGCTCAGTGACACAGCTGAAGCACCAGCCAAATCCTGCTGCAAGCACCCCTACTCTGATACAAAGGTGACTTTCTCTCATTTAGCACAGAACTGTTTCAAAGCCATATGAGCAAAACCAGGGCAGGCGGAATTGGTGACCAAACAGAAAGTTATTCTAACGTGAACTGTAAGGGCTTATACATGGTTGGTTGTCACACGCTGACAACCCCAACTTCCACTTTGCTTTCTTTATGTGTCACTGGCTGTCCTCAGGCCACCCCTTCCCTCCTCTTCATTCTTTTTCCCCATCAGGTTCTCTCACTCTTTTTGCTTTCTTCCCTCCATGACTATTTGAGCGAGCTAAGGGAGGCCTCCCGCTTAGCTGCAGCCCTGCATAATCCAACAGAACCATTTCCCTCTTCCCCCTAAAATAAGAGGCAAATAAGCTCTAAATCCCAGGGACAGATCAGAATGGAACAAACTGTCTTGTTTCATGAGAGTCAATAGCAGGAAAGTATCTTTTCTCTTGCAGTACCCATGTAATAGAGCCACACTTTGTTGCCACCTACCTTAGGAATTTGTCTGCATTTACTTCTAAAAACTCAGCATATCCAAATGTTGGAACACACAGGATGTCTCCCTCCTGGACAAGCCTACAAAAAACCCAGGGAGTTTCACCAGTGAAAGAGAGTAAAACCTTCTGGTCTTGTGTCATCCCCACCCCATACCACATGCGTTTTTACAGAAAAGAATGTAGCTATTCATACCAACTCACTCCTTTCCTGTAAATAAAACTGCACATAGCCACTTAAAGATTTAGCACACTAAAGGGACTACTAAGGGGAACCTTTCTGAGAATGGTACAGAAGATGAATGTCATTAAAGAGCGTCTCTTCCAGACAAAATAGTCTCCTTATCCCTGGAACAGCTGAGTATAATTCCAACTGAAACCCTTGACAGCCAAATGAAAGAGGCTCACGGCAGGTGTCATGAGGGAAGATGCCGACACATCCAGTTTCCTGATTACTAAATCTCATTCAAAGCTGAAAACTGGGGTTACGAACATGCCCCAGAATGGAGGTTTGCAGGCAGCACTTGGGAGCCCTCAGCATTGGGCGGTAGATCACAAGGAAGGAGGCTCGCAGATAAGTAGTTAGCGATGAGAGGAAACGGCCTCAAGCTGCATCAGGGGAGGTTTAGATTGGATATTAGGAAAAATTTCTTCATGGAAAGGGTGGTCAAGCATTGGAACAGGCTGCCCAGAGAAGTGGTGGAGTCACCATCCCTGGAAATGTTCACAAAATGGGTAGACGTGGCACTTGGGGACATGGTTTAGTGGGCTTGGTGGTGTTGGGTTGATGGTTGGACTGATGATCTTAGAGGTCCTTTCCAACCTTAATGATTCCTAGTTTTTACTTTCATTAAAAATAATGCAGCCACCAAGCCAGGAAACACAAAGTTGCTACTCTACCCTTAATTGGTTTAATGGTAGACTTGGTAGTGTAGGTTAATGGTTGGACTGGATGACCTTAAAGGTCTTTTCCAACCTAAACGATTCCATGATTCTATGACTTCCGAGGGACAGGACAAGAGATGTTGCGCGCAAGCGAAGCACGCTCACGAGGAGAAGAGGCTACAAGCGCACGTTCTAAAGCTACTCAGCATCCGCATGAAGGTGTTGATTATGCACGTGATGAGCGTGTATCAGGTCTGGGTCCCACGAATACGCAGGGAGGGTGCATCTCACGAATACGCCCCACGAACCGAAAGGCATCTCCTCCCCACGCAGCTCACCGGGGCGTTTCGAAGTGCTTGTAGAGGATGAGGTCGTAGCCTCCCCGGGCGCTGTAGGCCGGCGAGCAGACGATCTCCAGGTGCAGCTCCTTAGCGAAGGGGGGCACGGACAGCACGGACCGGCTGCCTTTCCCATCCGCGGCGCCGGACATTTCGTACCTCTGCAGAGGGGAAAGGGCGCACCGTGAGTCCCCGCC